GAAGTGTGGATGGCTAGATTTTGTCTTTTTTACTTTGTCAGGAGGGATCTGTTCCTGGAAAAGGACATCATGCTTGGAAAAAGTGGAGGGTCAGCTATAAAGAGAAAGACTTCCTAATGAAATGGATTGACACAGTGGCAGCTACAGTGGACTCGAACATAACAATTGTGAGGATGTCGCAGGACTACGCAGTGTTTTTGTTCTGTTGTACAAAAGGTCTCTCTGAGTTGGAACCAACCCAATGGCACCTAACAACATCAACATTTTCCTCTTAAACTCCTCTGAGCTCCATCCTGAGATTGCTCAGCTGTCAGTGGGCTCTGAGGCTTGTGTGGCCTATTGGCCCTCTCTCCTCAAGCAGCAAGCCAGCTCTGTGCATTGGGTATTTACAGAGGATGTTGTTTGTAGGTGCCACGGAGTTGGTTCCGACTCATAGCGACCCTGTACAGGGTTTCCGAGGCTGTAAATCGTTACGGGAGCAGAACGCCTCATCTTTCTCCCGCGGAACAGCTGGTAGTTTCGAACTGCTGACCTTGGGGTTCGCAGGCCGATTCGTAACCACTACGCTACCACTCTTTTTAGAGAGGATAGTGGCTACGAATCGGGCTGCTAATCTCAGGGTCAGCAGTTTGAAACTACCAGTTGTTCCGCGGAAGAAAGATGAGGTTTTCTGCTCCTGTAAAGATTTACAGCCTTGGAAACCCTGTACAGGGTCACCATGAGTCGGAACCGACTCCACGGCACATAACCACCACCATAGCAGTTTCTTTTCCACACTGTGCCTTTAAGAGCTGCAGGAATGCACAGGCAGTCTGGAGGCTGGGTGGGGTCTCCCAACAGGACTTCTGGGAAAATGATCCTGGGAATTTTTGCCAGAAACTGAACTGAGATTCCAACTCTGAAAAGTGGGGTGGTTTATGTTGAAGCAGATCTGTGATTGGACTGCAGAATCTCCCAGGGAAGAAGAAAGCAAAAGTAAAAAGAACTGGATTGGGGGTGGGGGGTGGGGGTGGCCCTTCCCATTTCTACCCCCAATACACGCTTAACATACCCAGGCCTGGAAGAAGCGTGCAACTATAGCTTGGGGAGGGCAAGTGTGAGCATCAAGGGTGGTGGCAATAGATGCTGGACCCAGTAATCTCCGCACTAAATCTGCCCGAAAGGCCTCCAGGGAGAAATTTACCAACAGCTGGATTTGATCACCAGTTTGCGAACTGAGATCATGCATCTGGTAGAGTAACAAGCGGACATTACTCTCCGGCTCTGTAAGACACTTTGTGAGAGGGTTTGCCACAGCAGCAGAGAGAAGGATAAGAAGCAGAAGTTACCACCACCTGGGCCCTTGATTCTCCCTCAAGAACTACAGCATACCAGATTCCACCCCTCCTGGGTGGTTTGTAAGATGATGATGGCCTTGAGGGAAGCCTCTGCTTTCCTGGTTTTGTTCCTTTCTACTTTTCTGCCTCCGCCACAGTGTGCCCAAGACCCAGCCATGGTGCATTACATCTACCAGCGCTTTCAAGTACTGGAGGTAGGTGGCATCTGTACACCCTATTTGGGGAACATGGCTTCCAGAAGTTACCTTATTATCCATACTAACCTAGCTACTGGAATGTATATTTTTTAGACTGTAAATTATAAATGAGATGTCCCTCGGCACCACAGATGGTACCCTACTAGCAGAAAGGTTGGTGGTTTGAATCCATCCAGAGGCGCCTCAGAAGACACACCTCACACAATCTGCTTCTGAAAACTTGGTGCAGCAGTTCTACTCTGCACACATGGGGTCACAGTGAGGCAGAATCAACTCCTCAGCAACTAATAACAGCGATCATAAATAATAGATTAAATACATTGCTAAACTCACAATGTAAAAACTTTTCCTAGGCTGGTGGTGTAGAGCACCAACACCAGAATCCAGGTTCTGCCACTCTGAAGCCTTGAGTAGACGGCTTCTCCATCTGGAAAATGGGAATGATTATGGAATTTACCTCTTAGGGTTAGCTGAAGATCTGATCCGCTAATCCACATTAAGAGTATTGCTTGGCATGGAGAAGATCTCTAAAATAGTGTTACTAATGAATAACTCATTTCTTAAAGTAGGAAAATTGCAGTTTGATATCAGTCTTTCTTTTTGTTTCACTATATCAGGAAATAATGGATTTTATTTCTGTTTTGTTTTTTTTAGTCAACTGCTGTTGTTAAATGCCATCAAGTCAGTTCCGACTCATAGCAACCCTGTAAACGGTTCCCAAGGAGCAGCTGGTGGGTTTGAACTGCCAACCTTGCAGTTAGCAGTCCCGTGCTTATCTTACAGCACCACACCAGGACTCCAGTCAATGGCTAGATTTCCCAAAAATCCAAACCAACCGTTGTCAAGTCAGTTCTGACTCATACCAACCCTACAGGACACAGTTGAACAACCCCATAGGGTTTCCAAGATTGTAAATGGAAAGAGATTGCCACACTTTTCTCCCTCAAGCAGCTGGTGGGTTTAAACCCAGGCTCACAACTGAGCAAATCAATCACTGTACCACCAGGGCTCCTTAATTGCTAGGTTAGTGTCCCAAATGATGATATCTGTGTACTGAGAAACTAAGTCTTAGCTATTCTTACCAAACTCGACTTGGGTTTAGACGTGAGCAGATTTCAGTGATGTTGACAGAGACAGTGTTGGGACTCTGTCACCCATGTGCTAGTTGCCACTTCATCAAAATTTGCATCAAAAGTAAGCATTGCTAAGGCACAGGCAGGCTCCTGGGGGAAAAAACACATAGTGTTTGTCACACTCCGGTGCTGACTTTAACTATTTCATATTTAATGCCTGGCTTTTGTACATGTCAAATTCTGGTAAATTGTTCATCTTCTTTCAAAGACATCCTATCTCCAATATTTATTTTCTATAGTTTCCTGAAAAATCTTCAAGTCTAAAATATTTGGTCATCTAGTTATATTAAATAATTCATCAGTACAGACTAAGAGCACTCCTTAACTTTGTTCTGTCAACAGACTGAGGGGCTTGAGCCAATTGGTGAAATTCTCCTGGGCAGGTGACCTCTTGCTCTTTCTTCACTTGCTCTGGGATTGTTGTTGTTAAGTGCCATCGAGTCGGTTCCAACTCGCAGTGACCCTGTATAGGGTTTCTGAGGAGCACTGGTGAATTTGAGCTGTTAACTTTGTGCTTCAAAATCCTTATCCCACAGTGCCACACCAGGACCCCTTGGCCCTGGGAGTTGTTGTTGTGTTGTGAAGTGCCATCGAGTTGATTCTGACCCATAGCGACCCTGTATAGGGTTTCCGAGGAGCAGCTGGTGAGCTTGAACCGCTGACCTTGCAGTTCAAATGCCTTTGCAGTCTGGCACATTTACCCACAGCGCCATACCAAGAATAGAGCCAGCCAAATCCCTCCAAGTTTTCTTCAAGACTTTAAGAGTTTATGATATCCAGACAAAGCTATAAAGTGTAGACTAGTACATTCATAGGTTGATTTTAAAAAGACAGGGTTATGACCTATACAGTCTACCCTGGTCATGAGTTCTAGGCCACAGCCAATGTTGGTTAGTGTAAATACATAAAAACCAAGGGGTGCCTGTTTTTGGAATCAGAAAGAGATAATAGGAATTTAGGGAATTATACTCAGGGTCTATCTTTCTATTTGACTTCAAAAGAAAGTCCTTTATCCTGCTGTTTGAAGTATAAATTTTATGTTTGTGCAGAGTATTTGTAAACTATGTTAAATGAACTTTAAATATAATAATTCCCTTCAACACAGACTTTTCATTTTAATTCTTCATTAATTTATCCTTTCATTATTTTACTAAGTACAAACTATGTACTGAGTGCTAAGAATAGAACTTATTCTGGACACCTGTGCTAAGAAAATAATCGTATAAGTATGTGAGGCTATAAACATAAAGATATTTTTTCAGCATTGTTTGAGAGACAAAAACATTTATAATTACTTTTTGTTGTTGTTGTTAATTGCCATCGAGTCGGTTCCGACCCATAGCGACCCTGTACAGGGTTTCTGAGGATGTAAATCTTTACGGGAGCAGAATGTCTCATCTTTCTCCCATGGAGCGGCTGGTAGTTTCGAACCACTGACCTTAAGGTTCGCAGCCCGATTTGTAACCACTACGTTACCAGAGCGCCTTACTTAAGTGTCCATTAAAAAGTCTAATAGAATAAATAATGAGATGTTAATTCTATGATCATCAAAATTATGTCATAGATATATTTGTATTCAAATACATTCATAATATATCAGCAAATTAAAAATATGAAGGGACTTCAAAAAGTTTGTGGAACAATGGAATGAAAAGATAAAGGAATTTTTCCAAAAACTTTTTGAAGCCCCCTCGTATGTTTCAAAACCTATACAGTAACATCATATTTTGTAAAATATGTATTTGTATGTGCTTATTTGCTTGGAGCCCTGGTGTGGCATTGTAGGGTAAGCACTGGACTGCTAACCATAAGGTCAGTTGTCCAAACCTATAGCCACTCCTTGGAAACCCTACACAGGGTTGCTATCAGTTGGAACTGATCTGATGCACTTAACAACAACAACAATTTGCATGGAAAACATTTTTTTAAGTTAAAATACGAAAGTATCAATCAATAATATCTCTGAATGGAGGAATTTTGGGTGACTTTAAATTTTCCTCCTTTTTGATTATTAAAAAGTAAAAATTTCTTCTATGTATGATAGCTATTTATATTATTTAGATAATTTAAATAACTAGAATTAATTGACTTGGGAATTTATTTTCTGACTGAAGCAAGGGCTGGCAAAGTGTACCCAAGCAACCAGAGCATACATTCAAGAATTCCAAGACTTCTCAAAAAACATATCTGTTATGCTGGGAAGATGTTTGGCCTACACGAGTGAGTATAAAAGTGCAGTCGATAGCCTGGCAACCAAAGTGGAACGTGCCCAAAGGGAAGTTGACTACCTAGAGTACCTTCGAGAATCTGAAGTGTGTGTAGAATCAGAAGACAAGATCTTGGCAGAAAAGCTACTCCAAGAAGCTGAAGAAGAGAAGAAGATTCGGACTCTGCTGAATGCAAGTAAGAGAATTTTGTCTTTTTAGATCATTTCTAGGGACTTCCACACTCAGATGCAGATTCCAAGCAGTTAGGGAGTCTCCGTATGAGAGTTGGAACTGGACGTGTGAACTAGTGTGCGTGTGCTGAGAAAGGAATTTTCTCTGAAAACAGGTATCAGAAGGCAAATCTGTTCTCAGAAAGCCACTTTACCTTTCATGGGGAGTTTGCAAAGACTCCATGGAAAATCAGAGTTACCGAGTGTCAGAGATTAGCCTAGGAAGGCCACCTCCTGATAGACCTTGCTTTGATCGAAGGATGTGGTCCTGATCAGTCCAGGGAGAGTGCTGGTTGGTAGATTCTACATCCAGCACCCTGGAGTAGGAAGCTATGGCAAATGTGCCACGTAGCAGTCTAAAATTGGATATGGCAGCAGCCAACCCTCAGGGTGGGTACTGCTGTAAATTATTATTGTGTATGTTCTTTGGAAGGAGTCCTGGTGTTGCTGTAGAATAAGCACTGAACTACTAACCACAAGTCTGATTATTCAAACCCACCAAATGGCTTCTTAGGAAAAAAATTAGACTTTCTGCTCCCATAAATCTTTGCAGCCTTAGAAACCATGTCTAGGGTCGCTGTAAGTCTGAATTTACTCAGTGGCAGTGGGTTTGGTTTTTGGTGTGGTGCTTTCTGGGATGGTGCTCTCCAGGGATTTGTCTCCATATTTGTGGTCCATTAGAATCACTTTCCGGCCATTATAAATTATATCTAAGAGCTCAGATTGTAATAAGTAGCAAATGAGAAGGAAAATTTCCCGTTCATGAATTCATTTTATTAAAACAATGAGAGAGATGAGTCCCCTAACTCAAAGTCTGTATGCTGACATGATTTCATTGCAAATAGGAAGCCTTATTTATATGTCAGTGCAATAAACTCCATCCAGGAAACAAGACATAAACTGAGTGTCAACATTGTACTCAGGGTATCAGATAGGATCTCATGTGATCTTACAAGTGCTCCACAGGCCCAAGAAGGAGACACTTGATCTGAGTTTTGAACTAAGGGAGTAGAAAAGAAGGGGCAAAGGGTAGCTCAGGTGAAGGCATAGCTTATCAAATGCATGAGAATGTATAGCAGCTCAATATGTTTGTGGATTTGCAAACACAGCCAAGTGAAGCTGTATAAGCCAGAAGATTGAAGAGTTCAGTTGGACTCTGATGGTGAAGGGTCTTGTGTGCCAGGCTAAGGAGGTTGAACTTTACGAGAGAAATTGTAGAGAACCATTGAAAGATTTTAAGCTGGGCGTCATTTGATGCAAGAGGGCAAGACTAAGGGAATATTGCTGTCATTGGGGCAACAAGTGATGGTATCTGCATTCAATGTCAATGTTATGGAAAAGAGCAGATGGATTTAGAGCCTTTGAGAGTTGGAATCTACATGGTTTGATGACTGATAAATGTGAAAGATGACTGAGAAAGATGAGTTGAGGATGCTTCCCAGGTTTTTGGCTTAGGTGATTATGTGATTGATATGTAATATGCTAAGATAGGAAACCCAGGAGGAAGGGCAAGCTGGTTTCTTTTTTCAGAGCACGCATTACTCTGAAATCTTCTAGTTTATTTGTATACTGCTTACTTTCTGCTTCCCCTTGTAGAATGCTGCCTCTATGAGAGAGTTTGAACTCTGCTTTTCTAGTTCTTTGCTATGTTTGTGCTCAGTAAATATTTGTCAGTGAATAAGTGACATGGAGTGGATGGATGGATGGATCGATGGAATGTCAGCACAATTAGTCTTTGGCAAGAAAGAGAACATCTTATACAAGAAAGATAACATTTGAATCAGAAGAGAGAGAAAAGTTGGTCAAGATAATCTGAGTGATTCTTTTCAGCCCTGACAGTATCTAAGTCTAGAGCTGATCTACTGTCAGAGCGGGAACAGCCAGGGTGAGAGTGTATGAGAGAAGGAAGGAACAAAAGTAGGCTGAAGGAGAGGTGTAGAATGTTCCTGATCTTTCATTCCAGGGATCAGACAGTGCACTAAACCTAAACCACAATTCTGAACTGGGTTCCTAGGCTGCTCAAGCTGACTGTATCCTCAGACTCAGTGCTACCTGGTAGGGATAGAGGAGGAAGTAAAGCATACCTGAATCCAACACTAGTTTTCTTATTCATCATCCTGTCTCTGGTCTTGCCTCCTATAATCCATTTACTGTTAAGTAGACCTTCCCACAACACAAAATGGATGATATTACTTCTCAGTGTAAAATGTTTTGTTGTTGTTTGTCATCAATTATCAACAGTTAAATAATCCATTTAAAACACTTAGTCTTTTAAACAAAAAAACAAACCTACTGTGTCAAATAGATTCTGACTCATTGTTGTTGCTGTAGTTAGGTGCCATCAAGTCAGTACCGACTCATAGCAACCTAATGCACAACAGAATGAAACACTGCCTGATCCTGTGCCAACCTCACAATCACTGCTATGTTTGAGCCCATTGCTGCTGCCACCGTACGAACCATCTTGTTGGAATCTTCCTCTTTTTCTCTGACCCTCCACTTTTACCAAGCTGATATCCTTCACCAGGGCCTGGTCCCTCCTGATAATATGTCTGAAGGAGGAGAGACAAAGTCTGACCATCTGCCTTCCAAGGAACATCCTGGCTGTACTTCTTTTAACACAGATTGGTTTATTCTATTGGAAGTCTGTGGTACTTTTAACATTCTTCTTCAACACCATACCTCAAATGCATCAATTCTTCTACGGTCTTCCTTATTCAATGTCCATCTATCATATCCATATGAGGTTATTGAAAATACTATGGCTTGGGTCAGGTGCACCTTAGTCATCAATGGACATCTTTGCCCTTCAACACTTTCAAGAGGTCTTGTGCAGCAGATTTGCCTAATGCAATTCATTGTTTGATTTCTTAACTGTTGCTACCATGAGTGTTGATAGTTGATTCGAGCAAACTGAAGTTTTTGACAACTTAAATCTTTTCTCTTTTGATAAGAATGTTGTTTATTGGTCCAGTGGTGAGGATTTTTGTTTTCTTTACATTGAGGTACAACCCATACCAAAGGCTGTGGTCTCTGATCTTCATCAGTATTTTAAATTCTCTTTTCTCCCAGTAAACATATCATCTGCATATCACAGGCTGATAAGGAGTCTTCCTCCAATCCTGATGCCATATTTTTCTTCATATAATACAACTTCTTGAAATATTTTCTCAGCATACAGATTGAATAAGTATGATGAAAGAATACAACCCTGGCACACAGCTTTCCTAATTTTAAACCATTCAGTGTTCCCTTGTTCTGTTCGAACAACTGTCTCTTGGTCTATGTATAGGTTCCTCATGAGCACAATTAAGTGTTCTGGAATATTCATTCTCTGTAATATTCTGATAGCTTGTCATGATTCACACAATCAAAAGCCTTTGTGTTGTCAATAAAGCACAGGCTAACTTCTTTCTGGTATTCTCTGCTTTCAGCCAAGATCCATCTGACATCAGCAATGATATCCCTCATTCCACGTCCTTGTCTGAATCTGGCTTGAACCTCTGCAGTTCTCTGTCAATGTACAGTTGCAGCCATTCTTGAATTGTCTTTAAAAAATTTTACTTGCATATAATATTAATGATTTTGTCTGATGATTTCTGCATTCCATTGGGCCACACTCTTTAGAATGGGCACAAGTATGAATCTCTTGCAGACAGTTGGTCAGGCAGTTGTCTACAAATTTCTTAGCTTAGAGTGAGTGCCTCCAGTGTGTCATCAGTTTGTTGAAATATTTCCATTTGTATTCCATTAATTCCTGGCACCTGTTCTTTGCCAATGCCTTCAATGCCCCTTGAATTTCTTCCTTCAGTATCTTGACTCTTAATCATATGCTATCTATTGTCATGGTTGAACATGGACCATTTCTTTCTGGTACAATGACTCTGTATATTCCTTCCATCTTTTTTTTTGATGCTTTCTGCATCATTCAGTATTTTGACCATAAAAACCTTCAATATTTCAAGTTGAGGTTTGAACTTTTTCTTCATTTCTCTCAGCTTGAGGAATGCTGAGTGTGTCCCTCCCTTTTGGGTTTCTAACTCCAGATCTTTGTACATTTCATTTATTATAATATTTGACTTTGTCTTGTCGAGCTGCCCTTTGAAATGTTCAGCTCTTTTACCTCCTCATTTCTTCCATTTGCTTTAGCATCTCTACACTCAAAAGCAAGTTTCAGAGTATTTTCTGACATTCATTTTGGCCTTTCCTTCCTTCTTGTCTTCTTAATAGCCCTTTGCTTTCTTTCCTGTATGATGTTCTTGATGTCATCCCATAACTCTTCTAGTCTTCGGTCTTTAGTGTCTAATGCATCAAATCTGTTCTTCAAATGATCTCTAAGTTCAGGTGAGATCTGTTCAGGGTCATACATAATTTGGTTCTTTTTGACTTTTTTTACACAGGGAAACAGCAATAACCAATCCATTGCCATTGAGTCAGTTCTAACTCATGGTGACCCTATATATGTTAGAATAGAACTGGGCGCCATAGAATGCCCAGTGCTGGATTTTTCAGGAGTAAATCACCAGATCTTTCTTTTGTACCACCTCTGGGTGGACTCAGACCTCCAACCTTTTGGTTAGCAGTGGATTACGTAAATTGTTTTTGCCACCCAGGGACTTTATGTAAGGAAACTCCTTCATAAAGTGGCCTGAGCTGATCTCCACCCTCTTCTCCCATAAATTACCCTTATACAACTTAAAAATCTCCCATAAATTACCCTTATGCAACTTAAAAAAAAAAAAAAGAAAAAGATTTCTTACTCACCATGCCACCATCCTTTGTGACTCAAATGCTTACTCTGTGAAGCCCCTGCCCCCACCACCCGAATACACCAAGAGTGGCTCATTCAGTCTCCGAGGGAGGATTTAATGTGACCTTTAACACATTGAGATCTTCAATTCTGTTTCACAGAGCCTAGGTTAGGCCTCCCATGAAAGAGACCATAAAATTTGCTTATAGAGGGATT